GCCCAAGCTGACATCCTGTCTTCTTTCTGCTGCCAGATCGCCACCCGCTTTGCCCCTGGGGACTTCCAAGGCTTTGCCCTGGTGAACCCGCAACGGAACAGCCGCCTGACAGGAGGCTTCACCGTGGAGCCCGTGCCTGAGGGTGCCCAGCTCTCTTTCGGCACCTTCGCCCAGCTTGGCCATGAGTCCTTCTACTGGCAGCTTCCGGAGGCGTACCAGGGAGACAAGGTGTGATGTGCAGGGACGGCTGGCAGGCCCTCCCTAGTCACCGGTTCTGAGCCAGCCCCTGCGGAGCCCTGGGGCCAGTGGGGCTCAGACACAAGGTGGCCTCAGGGCAGGCGTCAGCCGCTCCGCGGTTAAGCGTGCAGCCTTTGGGGTCAGACAGGCCTCGGCCTGAGCCCAGTTCTGCCATTTCCCAGATGACTGCCTTTTGATAAACTTCAGCCCCAGGCTGGCTGGCAGGATGAGAAGTCGTGCCTGGCACATAAGCACTCTCCTGTTAGTGGTTTTCAGCTTTCATGCAACAAATAGGTCCTAGGCGAGGCTCTAGAAACTCAAGGACAGATGTGACAGTTTCAGTGTCATCCCTTTGCTTATTCAGAGTTCCCTCATCTGTGCGGTGCTCTGTGCTCGGTGTCAGGCATGAGACTAACTCTGAATGTAAGTCACGTTTACGGAGCTCGCGCCGTGCTGGGCACTGTTCCAAGCACTTGTATGTGTCATAAATCGCCAGTACTGCTCCGTTTCCTTCGAGGGAACAGAGATGACACCCAGAAGGTGGCAGTGCTGGCATTCAGCCCCGGGTCAGAGGCTTCCCTTGAATCCTACACTGGTCAGAGATGAGCCGTGGTTTGCTGGGGTGGTGATGGTCATGCTGATAGTGGTGGCGTGGGGTGCAGGGTCTTAGGGGCGGACTGCAGAGCAGCCTGCCCAGACGTGTTCCTCGAGGAGTCAGTGCCATCTAATGACACCCAAGGAAAGATGGTCTTGGTACAGGAGTCCCCTGCTGGCCGAGGTCAGTGAGCGAGCAGGTGTGTCCCCTCACGCAGGATCTCAGGGAGGTCAGGGACACAGAAGGGGGAGTGCCCAAGCTGCCATGTCCTTCTTCCTTGGACAGACCCAAGTATCCCAGGCTCCTCCCAAGGCTGACCTTCACCTTCCGGTCCCTTCCCCCTTCTCTGGGTTCCGCTTCGTCCACTCCTGGCTTCCCTGTCTTCCTCCCTACTGCCCTGGCCCACAGTTCTCAGACTTCTCTCTCTACTCCCTCTTTTGGCGTTTCCTGGCGCCCCACAGAGGGAGGCGTATTTTGCACGGATGCGCCGGGCTCACCAGGTAGGCCCATGATCTGAGTGGTGTGACATGGATGTGACGCAGCCGTGGTGTTTTCCGATGCCGTCAGTCCCGCATGGGGAAATGCCCAGTGCCCGAGGAAATGTGGTCCGCATGAACCCCGGCAGGTGCCCAATGGCCCCGCCCTGCAGTACCAGGAATTGGAGCTGGGACGACCTGTGCCCCATCTGCTCTGTGGTCTGGTCCTGCTGCCTGCTGTCTGTGGCCAGAATGGTGGCCGAGGTGGCAGGGAAACTAACTTGATGCTAAACCACATGACTATACCCAGCCCACCGGGTTACCCTAGCACTGCCTTCCGAGCAACCTCCACTAACCCTCTGTGTGCGTATGCCCCTTCAGCAGCCTGGCGCTAACCCCCAGGTGCCAGCCTGGAGGGCGGAGTATGCATCTTCCTCCCCAGTCAGCATGGGCCTTTCTGGCCACCATATCCACGGGGAGAGGACACTCCCCAGGGCTCCAATGCTGGGGCCCTGGGAGGTCTGAGCTGGGCTCTGCCCTCCACCCATCAGAACCGCACGTCCCTCTCAGAGGAGCAGTTGAGGGCAGCTGTGACAGCTGAGAGGACCATGGGGCCCCCAGAGGGCAGGGGCCGGGCACAGCGGCTATCGGAGGTAACTCAGCACTTGGCTGGGACAGGCTGTATCTGGGGCCCCACGCAGAGCAGAGAGTATAGTTCAAGCAAGAGCCTTGAACTGAGGCCCTGGCCTTCCTGGGCCATTTTCCCCCAAGCTAGGCCCCAGCCTAACACCCAGTCTACTCCAGTGTTGCCCATGGGAAACATTCCAGAGCCATCAATGGCTTGGGCTCGCACCATGGGCATGCATGGTTAAGTGAGGCCCAGGGAACGGCCTCCCCTACCACAAGTGCCCCGGGGACCTGAGCTCGACAGAGAGGTGTCTTCTGTATGGGCTTCTGCCCATAGTCATCTGGGCCCATCCCAGGATCGCCCCACCAGGGTCATGAGGAGCAAGAGGACATCGGGTGCGAGGGCCAGAAGGTCAGGCACTTGTGAACAGATAGCACAGAAGTAGGTGGCTCGTGGGGCCTCTTGCCGCCTGATGGGAGGCAGAGCCTCACGGCGTCTTTTCTGTCCCTCTCTGCTCCTTTCCTCTGTCCTCCCTCTCCCGGTCCCCCAGGTGGATGAGGCCCAGAGGCGGATGGATGCCGAGATCTGGCAGCTCCTTTCCAGCTTTGCTGCCCACCCCCATCCACCTGCCCCGGGGCTCTTGCTCCATCCCCAGCCTGCAGCTGCCCTACAAGCAGCTCTCCCTTCCTCCTCCTCCTCCCCCTCCTCCTCCTCCTCCTCGTCCTCCTCCTCCTCCTCCCCTTCTTCCTCCTCCTCTTCAGCTTCTGCGCCTTCCTCAGCAGGCTCTCAGGTATGTGCCAAGGCACCTGCCAAGAGACCCCACCACCACCACCATGTTTTCCAGACTTTAGCTGTTTGTGAACCAACTTCACAAATTCTGCCATTTCTGCACGCTACCTGGGCTATGATTTACTTCAAATTTCCCTTGATTTTATTATTATTTTTAGACGTTTTTAAGTAATCTTTACACCCAACGTGGGGCTCGAACCCACAAGCCCGAGATCAAGAGTTGCCCGCTCCGCCGACTGAGCCAGCCAGGCGCCCCTCAAAGTTCCCTTTAAGTCTATCACACAGCAGCTCATTTGTGCTGGTAATACATTTTCCAATACATGTTAAAATACCTACTAAACTTCAAAATGTTTTCTGGTGTGCTGCATAAGTCATCGTGGGGTCCCCAAGAGGCACACACCAGATGTGAGGAGACACCAACCCAACCACGCCCAGTGAGAACAGTTGGGGTCTCTGGATCCAGGGATGGGGCACAAGTTGTCCCAAGAGCAGGGCTAGGACTTGAGCTTTGGGCTAGGGGCTTCTATCCCTCCACAGCCCCCACCCCAGCCTTCCCTCCAGGGTTTGCGTGTGTGTGTGCGTGTGCATGCGTGCAAATGTGTCCCCGCTGGGACTGTAGCTGTGCTCTGGATCCCCCACCCCCGACCCCCCAGCAGCTCTCATCGCCTGTCCTTCTGTCCTAGTTCTCTCTCTCCTACGAAGGCTTCTCTCTACTTCCTGGGAGCCTCTATTATTGGCAGCTGCCCCAAGCCTTCCTGGGGAACAAGGTAACAAGGAGCTGGGGGTTAACAGGTGTCATCAAAACCTAAAATATTCAAGAGCCCTTTTTCAAAGTCCTTTATGACACAGATGGGTAGGTAGATCAAGGCCCGGAGAGGGGAAGGGACTTGCCTGGTGTCCCATCAGTGGCCACAGGCCCTGGCAGGGACCCGTGTCACTCAGGAGGCTTTACCCCATATCCAGCTCACTCACCTAGCTCTTGGCTCTGCATTCGTTCCTTCAGGAAACATTATTTTAGCACTTCCTGTGTGCTGCGTTGTATCTGGGCAGAGGACGACCCTGGCCCTGGTCGTTCCTGTCATCGCCAGCATCATCAACGTCATCATCACCGTTGGCATTAGTGTTAGGATTGACGTCAGCTCCGTCTTGTTCCAAAAACTATTTAGAATGCCTCTTAAGAATATGCATAATATGCCATGAAATAGCATTCAGAGAGGCAGCTGGGACGGAATTGGCATGATCTGGGGGGAATGGGGATAAGAAAGATCTGCCGAAGCCGAGAGCACAGCCAGGTGTGTGAGGAGCTGGCAGGCAAGGAGGCCGTGCACTCTGGGGAGACTCTGCTCAGGGCAGTATTTTACAGAGCCTTTGTTACTTAATCTTTGTGCTACCCTTCAAGGTACATATTATTTTTATTGCTATTTCCATAAGAGGAAAGTAAGACTCAGGTTAGGTGCCTTGTCCAGGGCTGTCCCGCCAGTACAGTTGGACTTGAACTCCAGTCTTAGACTTCAGAGTCTGCTCCCTGAGCAGACTCCCTGAGCCACCCTGCTGCACACGCCTACAGCTTGTTCTGGAAGCAGTGATGAACCTGCTGGCATCCAAAGCAAGCAGGAAACTAAGTTGTTTCATGGTTATCCAGTTATGCCTTAGAGTTCCTTCCCTCACCCTGAGCTTGTGGAAAACATCCTCAGGACAGTATAGCTCAATTTCAGCATGTAGTCAGTAGGCATTGAATAAGTGCTCACCAACTGAATGAACACAAAAATGAACAGATGGGCTAGGCCTGATGCAGTGTGGTATTGATCCGAACATCTGCTGTGGTGGCAGAGGAGAGAAAGGAAAGTCCTGGGACAGAGCTGGGGCCTTGGCTGCCCACGTGAAAGCCCCCAGCAGGAAGCCTAAGGACTCTCTCAGTTGTGAGCGATGGAAAACCCGAGTACAGCCAGCTCCTACAACTACAAAGTCCGAGGAAGCTGGTGTCAGGCATGGCTGGGTTCAGGGGCTCATTAGGACTTTTATCTCCATTGGCATCATTCTCCGGCTTCCAATCTGACTAGTAAAGGGGGTATCTCTGTTCGTGGAAGGAGCAGAAGTGCCAGGTTTACGTGTCCATCCCCGACAGAGTGGAAGAGAATGGTGGAAAATGCACATTGACCAGACCTGGTTCACGTCTGTCCTCAAACTACGTGGCCCGCATGTAGGACATAGTTTCCTTTAAAGGAAACCAGGGCCGTAGTTTGCAAAAAAAAAACAGGGAAATGGATTCTAAGCAGACAAAAACCACCTGCCCAAGGGACAAGGCCTCTGAAGGCGCACCCTCAGCCCTACCCCCACGGCCGGGAACTTGTAAACCTTCTGGGGCAAGCTCGTGATGATCACCATCAGTACCCCTGTCTACTTTTTGGGAAATTTCTTCAAAGGGAAAGGGACTTGAAGCTTGTTTGCTGAGCTGTCAAGGCTGCTCAGGGTCACCCCCGGCAGGTCCAAGACAGCAAAGGAACTGACAGGTGCCTGTCTCCTTGGCAACCAGGGGCCAAGCGCACTGGCCTCCGGTTGAACGGAGGGGACAGCGCAGGTACAGAAAAGCCTTGAGAAGCTCCGCCCACTCACCGGTAGGGTCACACGCACCGTGGAGGAAGGCAGAGTCGGGCTGTGACTGCAGGGCTTGCCTCTTTGCAGGTGGCGGCCTATGGCGGGAAGCTGCGATATACCCTCTCCTACACGGCGGGGGCGCATGGCAGTCCGCTCTCTGACCCTGACGTCCAGATCACGGTGAGCACGTGGCTTCCAGCTGGACGGGCAGAAGGGGAGGGTGGAAACCAGCAGCCACCCTCGGTGTCCTTGTCCTATCGGCCCAGGGCTCAGCTGGCCTGGCACGAGCTGGGGGCCCGAGGCCCATGGCCCCCCACCCAGTCAGGTTAGACACTAGCCAGGCAGAGGCCCAGCTGCTGAGAAAGAGGCAGTGAACGTGGACCTGATTCCTTTGGGCACATGAGCTTGGGCAATCAGAGACTGGAGGCTGGTGTCACAGAGAGGCCGGGACTGGTGGAGGACTCCTCTGTCCCCGAGGGCCCCTTGATTCCCCTCCCAATCCTGCCGGTGTCTCTCCAGGGCAACAACATCATGCTGGTGGCCTCCCAGCCAGCGCCGCAGGGCCCAGAGAGGAAGAGCTTCGAGATCATTTTCCGAGAGGTGAGATCACACTGTGTCTGACCCTCCCCCACTGCCCACCCTGCTCTGGAGCCTGGCCTCGACGGTGCTTCCCCTGCCCATCCCCCATCCTCACCTCACAGTCCTCGGCCAGTGCCTGGAGGCCAGGGGATGGGGTAGCGGTGCTGCAGGACTAGCACACGGGGCCTCACACCCCTCACCCACACTTGCTGTTGTCCCCCCACCCAGGAATTCTGGCGCCGGCCTGATGGGCAGCCGGCCACGCGCGAGCACCTCCTGATGGCGCTGGCCGACCTGGATGAGCTCCTGCTCCGGGCCACGTTCTCCTCAATGCCACGGGCAGCCAGCATCAGCTCCGTCAGCCTGGAGGTCGCCCAGCCTGGGCCCTCAGAGGGACCCCGGGCCATGGAGGTGGAGGAATGCCGCTGTCCCCCGGGCTATGTTGGCTTGTCATGCCAGGTGAGTGTGGCCAGCCCAGACACATCTGCTCTGGTACAGCTGGTCAGCAAGCTGATCAGCTGCCATGTCCGTGGCCTGTCATTACTGCCATAACTTTAATTTTTTTTTTTTTTTAATTTTTTTTTTTCAACGTTTATT